ATAAGATGAGGTGTATGTACACCTGAATAAGAAGTACCATTATAATCAATAAGTATATTATTAATAAGATTAATTTGTATAATTCCTCTTTTTTCTATTAATTCTCTTGTAGGGGGATTCCTCTTATATTCCTCTATTATATCTATTGGTATACTATAAGGACCAACAGAGGAAACAAATGCAATAATATTAACACCAACAAAACGAAGAAAAGATGATTCAATTACTGCAGCAGCAGCAACACGTGCTGCTGTCTCACGAGCGCTGCTGCGCCCACCACCGCTGCTGCTGCTAAGACCATACTTTAATAAATATGTTATATCTGCATGTCCTGGTCTAGGAATTATATTATTTATAGGGTCTATATAGGATTCTCCTTCTTTTTCTTCTCCTGCTGCTGCTGCTGCTGCTGCTGCAGCAGCAGCAGCTGCTGCTGCTGCAGGTCCACCAGCACCAATATTGCTGTAATCCTTCTTACGTATATCTTGATTAGGTATTAATATTGCTATTGGGGATCCAAGAGTTAATCCATTCTCTACACCACTTAATATCTGTGCTACATCTGGCTCTGATCTGCTGCTGCTGCAGACACCTGCTGATGAATAACCAGGACGACGACGCTGCAGCTGCCGCTGTACACAAGATAAACAAAAAGGAAGACCTCCAGGTAAACCGTCAATTATACATCCAACTGCTGTACCGTGAGACTCGCCAAAAGTGGAAACACGCAAATAATTCCCAAATGTAGACATTATTAATGTTGTCGTTGCCGATGGAGGAGGGAGGAAGGGAGGGAGGAAAACGATTACCGCGATCTGTAAGATAGAGGGGGAAAAAGAAGATAATACCGAAGATCAAAACAAAAATAGACCTTTATTTAAAAGAAAAAGGAAAGAAATGAAGAAAAAAGAATCATAATGTGCCCCGCACAAGGAATGCCGCGACTGACGGACGATAAACACGAAAGCTGGGGAATACACATGACGGGAACAGTATATTTGCAGTTAAATACGTCAAAATAAAAGGACATATGCCATAAATAAACATTTAAAGGAAGACGAAACACAATTCTACGCACAATACGCAAAAAAGAAGATTTTCCTTCAAGAAATGCAACACCGAACTTTAGAAGACACGCAAGGGGGGGGGGCCCCACGGCCGACAGAAAGAAGATCGATATCGAGGGTCTTCATTGTAAAGTCAGCAAGGAAAAAAGAAGAAAAAAGTAAATCTTAAATACAAACAATTCTATTTATTTATTACTCCTTTCTTCGGATTATTCCTGCCAGAAATTTTCTCTCTTTTATGAGTAAATGATAGCTGTCCCTAGACGTGCGCATACACCCGAAAAGGAATCCGTTCGCGTTTGCAAAAGAAGATTCAAATCAGCTCAACACATTTAAGTACATTTTCAAGGAAAAATCGACCTGATCACCCTAAAATATCTCTTTTAGTATAATAAAAGCTTCATTTGCTTATTTTTTTATCCAATAGAAGCTGTTTAATCCTTAACTTCCCCCCGATCCATTTTTCAGAGTTCGGGTGATCTGCTCGTAGGCTCTTGAAACGCACGAGAGGAAAAGAGCTGAAATTTAACCAATTCTGCCGTACTTTTTGGATTCCTTTTGGGTTTTTAATAAGACAAGAATATCTTTAATTTTTTCTCCTATTTTTCTCAGATTTCCCTCGTTTCTGATGGGAGAGTCGCGCTTCGGTGCGTGTAGCCGAAAGCCCCAAGACAAGGAAACGAACAGCAAATGATAAAATAGTCATTTTCTCTTTAAATATAACCTGTTTTATATTTAAGCAAATCGGGAAATAAATAGAGGAAAATGATGATATAAGGCTCCATTTCCAGTCTGCTTTCTCTCTAGCTGCCGTTAAACGCCGCCGCCGTTCGCGAATTTGTTTTAAATGCGCTCTGAAGGCAGTAAACTAATTCACAAGAAATGCCTCAACTAAAGAACTAATTATCTACTCTGTAGGTAATTAAGTCAATATAGCGAGAAAAAGTTCCGCTGCCTATTCAGCCCATATACAGGCCATTTCAGCATACCAATGGAGTCGCCCTTAGACGCAACAGAGGCGGCAACAGAACCTGCCGTGGCTACCGAAGCAGCAGAAGCAGAGGAGCATGCAGATGAGGCTGTAGAAGATGGATCTGAAGCAGGAACTGCAGCAGCAGCACCAAGTGGAGCCGAAGCAGCACCAACTGCAGCATCAGGTGGACCAACAGCAGCAGAACCAAGCGAAAATGAAACAACAGTAGCAGCAGAAGGATCAGGACAAGACGAAGCAACAGCAACAGCAGCAAAACCGGAAGAAAATGAGCCAGCAGCAGCAGCAGCAGAATCAGGACAAAGTGAAGCAGCAGCAGCAGAATCAGAAAATGAAGGTGCAGCAGCATCCGAATCGGAACAAAATGATGGAGGAGGAACAACAACAGATGGGGAAGGGCAGGGGGATAACTCAGAGAGAGAAGGGAATACAGACAGCAGTACACAAAAAGAATATAATATTCCTCTTTTCTCACCTCCTGCAAATATGAATAAAGAAAAGTTGCAAAGAATTCTATTAAGGAGACAAAGAGCAGAACAACATATTAAGGAAGCCCATAGTGCCTGTAAACCCTAAACCCTAAACCCTAAACCCTAAACCCTAGACTCGAGACTGTTAGACGAAGACAGCGAGAGCCGTCAGAGTAGTAAGGGCTACTTGTTGTAGATTTAGGCAGAAACTCCTGCAATACAGGTATCTAGGGTTTAGGGTTTAGGGTTTGGGGTTTAGGTGTTCGTGATCAGCATCAACAACAATTAGGCCTGGAGAAAATAATCTGGAGGGATTTGACGCGGAAGCAACAGCAGCAGCAGCAGCAGCACGCATGGAGGAAGAAGTACAAGAAAGTTTTAATAAATTAGATAAAGTAAAAGAAGAATTTCATAGACAAATAGAAGCAGTTAAACAAAATGCACAACAAAGAAGACAAGAAATACAAGAAGAAGAAGATCTTAAAACTAAGGGCAAGTACCCTCATAAACCCTAAACCCTAAACCCTAAACCCTTTGTCAAGGTGGCAGGCTACTAAAGAAAGCTGCGTGGCTGTTATGTGAGCTATAATAACTGTAAACCATAAATTCTAGGTATGGGTTCACACTCGTGAACACTTTTGCGGCCTAGGGTTTAGGGTTTAGTGTTTAGGGTTTAGGGTTTGTGATTTGCTCAGAGAGACACGAGGCGGAAATGACTGTCAATCAAAGCATTCAATATCAGAGAGCTTTACAGGTTGGCTTCCAAGTTTCCTATAAACCAGAGAGCCTTTAGGGTTTAGGGTTTGGCGTCTAGGGTTTAGGGTTTGGCGTCTAGGGTTTAGGGTTTAGGGTTTTGGGTTTTGGGTTTTGCAGAGCAGGCGTTTGGCAACTTTGCCGAGTCTTTTGGCCAGGACGGGGACAGAAGCCTCAAAGCAGCAGGAGCAGCAGCAGGAGCAGCAGTCACAAGATGGGCAGGAGCAGCACGAAGAGCAACACGGATTTAAGCAGCAGCAGCAGCTGCAGCAGCTAGAAAGCATCTTACAATCTGTACAATTAGAAGAACAATTGTTGCAAGAATTAAAACGTCTTAAATTAGATGAACAGTCTTTATTCCTTGATGATGCTAAAAGAAAAGATCAAAGATTCGCAGACTGTAAACCCTAAACCCTAAACCCTAAACCCTAGATCCTAGATCCTGGTTGACACGGTTTAACATTTGGAGAAAAATCAGGCTTTAGTAAACGATCTGAACTTCTTATTAGTGTTTAGTGTTTAGTGTTTAGTGTTTAGGGTCTAGGGTCTAGGGTTTAGGGTTTAGGGTTTGTTCTTAGGTATAAGTGACCAAAAGGAAGAGTTGAAGGCTACTGCGGCTTTGATGAATGCGGAGTATGACGCCCTTAGGCAGCAAGCCAACAGTAAACCCCAAACCCTAAACCCTAAACACTAAACCCTTAAACTGCAAATTCGTATAGGGAAGCCTCATATTCGAGACTTGTGCAGAATCATTACATAGTAGCAAATGCCAGGGCCCTCGTGTGAACCTTTCACAGATAACGCTTAGGGTTTAGGGTTTAGGGTTTAGGGTTTGGTATTGTTGCTGTTTGCAGTCGAGCTCCTGCGGCTCGAGCAAGTCGTACTTGCACAGAGGAAGCAAGTGCTTGTGAGTGATCTTAAACCCTAAACCCTAAACCCTAGTACCAATAATCCCATCCCTCCACAATAAATCCAGCAAGACCCTAAACCCTAAACCCTAAACCCTTTTTGTGCGGCACCTCTGAGTGTGCAGGAGGCTTTTAAAAAGGAAATTGATGATTTATTCGAGAAGAGGAAGAATCTGGTAACAATCAGCTCGATACCGTAAACCCTAAATAAACCCTAAACCCTAATAAACCCTAAACCCTAATCATAAGGCATAGAAAGAATCCTAAGCGCTTAAATCTTAAACCCTAGCTGTTCTAAGCCCACGACCCTAAAGCCAATCACCTGGACAGTAACCTCCAAACCCTAAACCCTAAACACTAAACCGTCGACTATCATATGCAGGAGGAACATGAACTTGTAGAGGAAAGAGATAAAAGAAGAAATACATGGAAAGAACAAATGCAAATGGAGAGGTTGAGGAGTCAACAGAATGCTGCAGATATTAAATCCCAGCATAATCAACATATTGAGGTACTAAACCCTAAACCCTGATAAACCCTAAACCCTTTAGACGAATCCTTTGCATTTATCCAGTAGAATAGCAAAACGTAGGGTTTGTACAATTGCTTATATTACATGGAGATTTGCGTCAAGGTCCGCGTTTCAGGATCAGAGCCTAGGGTTTAGGGTTTAGGGTTTAGGGTTTAGGGTTTAGGGTTTGTGTGTAGGAATTGGAGTTACATTTGGAGTCATTATTGGCTGCCTTTCAACTCCGTCAAGAAAAATTAACATTTAATGTTTTGCTGCTAACAGAGAGAACAGCAGCAAATGCAGCAGCATACAGCAGACAAAGACTAAAATTAAATCAATGTAGAGAAGCACTCACAGAAATTGCCGCAAAATTTAGAGGTGTTCGCAAAAAATACCTGTACATATTATACCCTAAACCCTAAACCCTAAACCCTAAACCCTAGACATTTGACCCTTAATTTCTACCGACCTCGGCTGTATTGTGTATAGTTAGCGGGTGTTAGCGTGATGGGACTGAGGGTTCTGGGTTGAGAGCGTACTGTGTTTTAGGGTTTAGGGTTTAGGATTTAGGGTTTAGGGTTTAGGGTTTAGGGTTTGTGTGTAGTTTAGAAAATGTCCAGGCGAGCGCAGAATGCAGACGTCTATGGAAACAACATGAACAATTGCAAAGAGCATTTGAGGAAGAAAGAAAAATTAGACAAGGATTATTTAAACAATTATGGGCACATCAAGAAAAAGAAGTAAACCCTAAACCCTAAACCCTAAACCCTAAACCCTAAAGCGTTCACGCGCTCAAAGCAGAGCTCTTGGATGTCTACCGATGCTATCTTATACAAACCCTAAACCCTAAACCCTGGAGCGGGCAAGCTGTCAGTAGAATGCCTAGTCAAGTAGGAACGTGGCAATGAGGGTTTAGGGTTTAGGGTTTAGGGTTTGTGTTGCAGATAATGGAGTTGGTGGGTCGAGTGTCTGCTGCTGATGCAGCAATACATAATGAATATTTAAATAGGGTTTATGTATACCCTAAGGAAGAAATAGAGGAAATAAATAAAGAAGGAGGATTAGATACACAAGAAGAAGGAATAATAAAAGAAAGACTTAGCTGCAGCAGCGGCATGAAGGCATGCAGCAGCAGCCGCAAAACTAATGATAGTTTGCTGCTGCAGCAAAGAAATGGCAGCAGCAGCAGCAACAGCAACAGGAACAGCAGCAGCACAAGCAGCAGCGAAACCCCTTTCCCTCCTACTAAAATTAAGGCTGTACTTCTTCTTATAAGAAAAACATGCGGATTCCTTCTTGATCCACATGTGAGGATACAGGGTTTAGGGTTTAGGGTTTATTAAGTGTTTACGGCTTATGGTTTATGGTCTAGGGTTTGGGGTTTAGGGATTAGGGTTTAGGGTTTGGTGTTTAGGGTTCAGCACAGAGGATTCAATGCCTGTGCAAGATTCAATATGCTGTGCGCCTCGCTTCATATCAAGCTGTGTGTGCAACAAGAAACCCTAAACCCTCAAACCCTAAACCCTAAACCCTAAACCCTAAACCCTAAACCCTAATTATTATGTGTGCAGCACCGCGATCTTCCCGAAACTTTGCCAGAGGAGCAAAAGAATTTTTTGCAGATTTTGCATTTATTGGAGATAATTGGTGTTGAATCTAAACAAGATCTATTTGTTCTTATTGATCTTTTTTATAAAGGTATATATAAACCCTAAACCCTAAACCCTAAACCCTTTGAGCAGCATAGTGAGGATATCCCTGTTGGCTAATGCTGTACTGCTGTGATGTTACCCTTGTGCTTGGCTGTGGGGGAAGGAAACTCAGAAATTTGTCCTCTAGCTACAAGAAGAAAAGAAAAAGTGTTTAGGGTTTAGGGTTTAGGGTTTAGGGTTTATGTATACCAGGACAAGACGCTGACGACGACGCCCTTTATGCAGAAGCAGATGATGTACTAAAAGTGTTGGAAGAATTTCAAGAAGCAAAAGCACAAAATGATTTCGATTTAGCTACAGAACAAAGAGGAAAAAGAAAGGTAAACCCTAAACCCTAAACCCTAAACCCTAAACCCTAAACCCTAAACCCTAATAAATCCTAGATTCAAAAAAGATACAAAACTTTTTGGCATACATGAAGTTTAATAGTACAAAATAGACTTCTAAGTCGTAAACACCAAACCCTAAACCCTAAACCCTAAGTTGACAGTTGTGTTTGGGCAAGAGTTACAAACAAATAAAAGGGTTTTCTATCTAGGGTTTAGGGTTTTTAGGGTTTTTAGGGTTTAGGGTTTGTAGGGAAAAGAAGAATCCCAACAAGAAATATTCAAAAGACTTCGATTAGAAATAAAAAGAAGATTTCTTGAATTCCCTAACCCTCTACCTCCATCCAGGCAAAAAGTCTGGGAGGTAAACCCTAAACCCTAAACCCTTATAAACCCTAATAAACCCTAATAAACCCTAAACCCTAGAGGGTAAGATAACCCTTGCACTTGATGATGGCAGGTGCTATGCAGACAAACCCTAAACCCTAAACCCTCCCGTCTAAATACCACTACCCTTGCCTGTACTCTAAACGAAACAAACCCTAAACCCTAAACCCTAAACCCTAAACCCTAATTGGTGTGCAGATGCTGCTGAGTCTTTATAAGAAATATCTTATTGAGCTACGGAGACGATCGTCATTAATGAAGAAAATATTGCTGCAGCAGATTGCTGCTTATCATCTGCAGCAGCAGCTGCAGGAAGCAACATATAACAGCAGCAGCAACAACAACAACAACAACAACAACAACAACAACAACAACAACAACAACAACAACAACAACAACAGCAGCAGCAACAGCAACAGTTTCAGCAACAGCAGCAGGAGCAGCAGCAGCACAGGTGTAGCAGCAGCAGCAGCAAAACTACGGCAGCAGCAAATGAAGTTAGAGCTCAAAGGAATTCAACACAACAAACTATAAACATATTTTTATGCATGCATGCATGCATGCATGCTTGCATGCATGCATGCAGCAGCAGCAGCAGCAGCAGCAACAGTAGCAACAACAGCAGCAGCGGTAAATGCAGCAGCAGCATCTAACGTAACACATTATTTATCACTACTTTGTTGCTGCAGTTGCTGCTGCAGCAGCAGCAGTTGCTGCTGCAGTTGCTGCTGCTGCACTGGATGCAAACTAAACTAATATTTGCTGCTTTCCTAATATATACAAATATATCTTGCTGCATTTGCTGCTGCAGTTGCTGCTGCTTCTGCTGCTGCTGCTGCTGCTGTTGCTGCTGCTGCCGCAATAATCAGCAAAAAATTAAAATCTAAAAATTGGTTTATAGATGACCACACAGCAGCAGCAGCAGCAGCAGCAGATATTGCTGCTGCTGCTGTTGTTGCTGCTGCACAGTCTATTCTATTGCGATTGCTGCTGCTGCAGCTGCTGCAGTTGCTGCTGCTGCTGCTGCTGCTAAGTGCTAAACACAGCGATCTCCAGGAAAGGAGGTAAAAATCAATTATATTGCTGCCGCCGCAGCAGCAGCAGCAGTTGCTGCTGCTGCTGCTGCTGTTGCAGCTTCTGCTGCCATAGGCGTTGCCAACATTGCTGCAACTAGTACAGCAGCAGCAGCAGCTGCTGCTGCTTGTATTGCTGCTGCTGCTGCTGCTGCTGCATGCTTAAAAATCCTTCTTGTCGCTGCCATAGAGTAAATTGTCAGCAAACTAAATTCTTATATTTGCTGCTGTTGCTGCTGCAGTTGCTGCAGCAGCAGAAGCAGCAGCTGCTGCTTACTGCTGCACCGCTGCCTGAGGCTGTGGGGCGCTTGTAGTGCTGCTGCTGTTGCTGCTGCTGCTGCTGCTGATGCTGCTGCGGTTATTAGCAGATAGACTAGTAATGATTGCCTGAGCAAGACGTAGACGACTAGAGTTATGTGCTGCTGCGCTGCTGTTTTTTTGCTTCTGCTTCTGCTGCTGCTGCTGCTGCTGCTGCTGCTGCTGCTGCCTCTCTAATGCCTCTATCTGCTGCTGACGATCTATGCGGGGTCGCCATGTTGCAGATAACTCATTATGAGGACGCCATAGGGCACCCCTATGCTGCTGCTGCTGCTGCTGCTGCTGCTGCTGCTGCCAGCTCTTTTGCTGCCACTGCTTCTGCTGCTGCTGCTGCTGCTCCTGTACCTGTTGTATGTGAGCAAGCTTTGTTTGCTGCTGCTGCTGATGTTGCAGCTGCTGCTGCAGCAGCATGCGAAGTCTTTGCTTCTGCGGGCAGTTATCATATCCACCTGCTGCTGCTGCTGCTGCGTCTTGCTGCTGCTGCTGCTGCTGATCCACTGTCTTCGTATCCTTCTCTTTTGCTGCTTCTGCTGCTGCTCCTGCTGCAGCAGCTGCTGCTGCTGCCGGTGAGCTTACTTGCCTTAGGTAGCTCCTCGAAGCCAGGTGGTGGGTGAGTCCAAGCTGCTGTTGCTGCTTTGGCTGCTGCTGCTGCTGTTGCTGCTGCTGCTGCTGCTGCTGCTTCATCGTCTTCAGCTGCTGCTGCTGCAGCAATGGGAAAGGGAAAGCAGGCACGAATTCAGGGGCATTTGGATTCAGTCTCTTCTGATTACTATCTGCTGCTGCTGCTGCTGCTGCTGCTGCAGCTGCTGCAGCGGCTGCTGCTGTGGTGGGTGTCTGCGTACCATTTGTGGCAGCAGCAGATGTTGCTGCTGTTGCTGTTGCTGCTGTTGCTGTTGCTGCTGCTGCTGCTTTCTCTGATACTTCTGATTCACCTGCTGCTGCGTCAAGCACAGCTGTTGTTGTCTCGTCTTGTGCTGCAGCAGCTGCAGCAGCAGCAACAACAGCTGATTCTGTCGTTGCTGTTGCTGCTGCTGTTTCTTGGGCATTTTCTTCTTCCTTTAGAGAACCTGACGACGCATCTGCTGCTGCTGCTGCTGCTGCTGATTCTGCTGCTGCTGCTGCTGCTTCTGGCTGTTGGCTATCTACTGCAGCACCTTCTTCTCCCTCAGCAACATGATAATGATGATGATCATCATGAGCAGCAGCACCTGCTGCTGCTGCTGCTGCTGCTGCTGCTGCTGCTGCATCATTAACTTCTCCTTCTTCTTCTTCTCCCTCTTCTTCTTCTTCTGCCTGTGGACTATTCATAGGAGTCCACATCTGTTGTTGTTGTTGCTGCTGCTGCTGTTGCTGCATAAAAAGTTGCTGCTGCAGCAGAATTTGTTGCTGTTGTTGCTGCTGTTGCTGCTGTTCCTGTTGCTGTTGCTGCTGCTGTTGTATATTATTATTATTAGCAGCATTAGCAGCATGAATAGCAGATAATGCAACATAACTTCCTGCCTTATGTACAATAGGTATACAATCAATAGGTAATTTATTACGCAGCAGCAAAGACTGCAGCTGCTGCAGCAAACCCTGCAGCAAATAAGGATAACTAACATATGTTGCTGCTAGTACCCTATCTAACCATACACCATCTATACATATTCCTTCCTCTATAAATTCTATTAACCAATTTATTCCTTGCTCATATGCACCAGACCTGCAGCAGCAGCAACAGCAAGTGCAGCAAGTGCAGCAAATGCAGCAAATGCAGCAACAGCAGCAACAGCAGCAACAGCAGCAACTGCATGCAGAAATACATCAGCAATATGTATTATACAACAACAATCAACACAACAACAACACAACCACCATCACCACCACCACCACCACCAACAGCAGCAGTAGCAGCAGCAGCAACAACAACAACAACATTATCAGCAGCAGCAGCAGCAGCAGGAGCAGCAGGAGCAGCAGCAGGAGCAGCTTACGCGAGTGCACATTGTACAAGAAGAAGACAAACATCTTTTTGCATTTTTTGTTTTCTTCTTTTAAATATTTCATAAACCGTCAATGCAACTTCTAATTGACGTAACTTCTGAGCCCTGCATACGTAAACCCTAAACCCTAAACCCTAAACCCTAAACCCTTATTAACCCTAATATGCAATAAACTCTTATTAAATATATAATAATAACACGTCAATAATCATAAACAGCACATAATTATACTTCTAAACCCTAAACCCTAATAAACCCTAATAAACCCTAATAAACCCTAATAAACACTAATAAACCCTAATAAACACTAATAAAGAGAAAGATATAATAATGCATGATAGATATCATCTACCTTCTGTTGCAGCAGCAACAAACAGCAGCAACAACAACAAACAAACAAGCAGCAGCAGCAGCAGCAGCAGCAGCAGCAGCAGCAGCAGCAGCAGCACGTGTTTACCTTTGTAGTACAGGTATGACTTCTATGTTAGCAAGATGTTGTAGATGTCTTTCTCTTTGCTTCTCTTGATGCGTCAGCAGCACCTGCTGCTGCTGCTGCTGCTGTTGCTGCTGTTGCTGCAGTAGTAGTAGCTGTAACTGGCTCTCTGTTAAGTGTGCTAGTCCTTCTGCAGTGTTGCTGCTGCTGCTGTTGCTGCTGCTGCTGCTGCACTCCTCCTCTATTGCCTGCTGCATCTGCAGCTGAGGACTAATGCAGCTCCTTGTTTGCTGAAAGAGGAATTGCTGCAGACTGCTGCTGCTGCTGCTGCTGCTGCTGCTGCTGTGTAGTGTAATAGGGGATGCATGGGTATCTGCAGCATTAGCAGCAGCAGCATCTGCTGCTAATGCTGCTGCTGCTGCTGCTACTACATCTGCTGTTGGAGGTATTGCTGCACTTCTATCAAAGGAAAGAGATGATTGCTGCTGCTCCTCTCTAAGACGCTTCTGTATACACAGCAGCAGCAGCAGCAGCAGCAGCAGCAGCAGCAGAATAAATAGCAGCAGCAGCAGCAGCATAAATAACAGCAGCAGCAACAAGAGCAATAGCACAATGATTACTAGAAACAACAGCAATACAACAACCAGCAACAGCAACATAAAAAGCAGTAACAGCAACAACAACAGCAGCAACAGCAACAGCAGCAGCAACAGCAGCAGCAGCAGCAGCAGCAGGATGAGTAGATACCATATTAGCGAATGCTGCTACCATCTCATTAAGAGAATAAATATTATTTGTTTGTCTTTGTTGCTCTTGCTGCCTCTCTGCTTCTGCTGCTTCTGCTGCTGCTGCTTCTTCTTCTTCTTCTTGCTGCTGCTGCTGTTGCAGTTGCTGCTGCTGCAATTGTACTTGTTGTTGTTGCAATTGTACTTGTTGCTGCTGTTGCTGCAATTGCTGCAGTTGCTGCAGCTGCTGCTGCGTAAAGGATAAATGCTCAAAGGATGCATGCAGACTCTGTGTGCCCTCTGAGCTCATTGCCTGTCTTTGCTGCTTTGCTGCAGCAGCAAACTCTTCGTATTGTGTGCTGCATGCAGGGGCTGTGCAGCAGCAAGAACTTCTTTTGCTGCTGCTGCTGCTGCTGCTGCTGCTGCTGCTACTGCTGCTGCTGCTTCTATTATTCCTGCTGCTGCTCTTTATTGATGATGATATATCATCTATTGCATGCAAAGAATCCCCTGAATTACCCCTACACGTACAATGGCAATTGCTGCTGCTGCTGCTGCTGCTGCTGCTGCTGCTGCAGGTGCATGCCTCCCATTTCTCTATTAAAGGAGAAGGATTATGCCGCTGCAGAGGAGGAGGGACAGGAGGAGGACGAGAAGAAGAAGACGAAGAAGAAGAAGAAGAAAGAGGAGGAGAAGAAGAAGGAGAAGAAGAAGGAGGAGGAGGAGAAGCAAACAGACGCTTATACAGAGAGAATAATGCCTGTAACACAGCAGCAGCAGAAGCAGCAGCAGCAACAGCAGCAGCAACAGCAACAGCAGCAAATAGCCGATTATTATGTATTAA